CCGGTGAAAGGTCAGAGCCGAACCTTTGAGATGTGTATTTGTTAATCGAACGTCACAGCTTGTCAGTCCTCTTCTAGGCTTGCCCATTGTTTTGGTTGTTGTTGGGGCTAGGTGATTTACATTGATTAACCAATGCTGGCTGCTCACTGAGTTGCACTGACTCACTGACTCAAGTGGATTCAATCCATCCAACACAGTCTTGATGCATCAATCTTTGACACCCAGAGGCGGCCCTGGACCCGAACGAACTGCTACATGTTGCTTCGGTCCAGTTCACCCTGGCTGTGCGGGTCAAAACCCGGACCGCGAACTGAGGGACCAATGAGCCTTTGGGCAGAACTTCTCAGCAAAACCCCCAGCTTGAAACATGCTGTGCATGCTGCATGGTCCTTTCACCTCCGACCTCCGCGTCGTCTCCACGTCGTCTCTACGGCGCCGCCCTTCGCCTCGCCATGCTGCGCGTCGCCGCCAGGGTCTGCCGAGCAGCGTTCCCGAGATCGCCGAGGGCCTGACCACCGACTTCGATGGAGGACCGACTTCGATTGGGTCGATGATCGCCAACGTTGGGTGGAGGAATAGGGATTTTTCAGAGTGGAGCATTAAGCTGATCTTTTATTAGCATGTCGGAGACTTTGGCTTAAAAAAGAACTTGGTTTCTACGATGTATAGATCACATGGTTTTCCTTTTCTGGATCGGGGTGGTGTCATTATAGCTGTTAATGACTGCACTTTTTCAAGTCACTCTCTATAGTCTGTACAATCGGTACACATCAGTACACAAAATTTAGACTACGCTACAGTCCATGAATTACATACCCCTGAGAGTCCCAGTTTGATTCCTTTTCGTCAAGTCACGGAAGGGGACTATAGGAGTCACATGCAGTTGGGTGCCGAACGAACGGTCCCCTTGTCACATCCCACGGCCGGATGGGACGAAGCAAACCACTCGACTCCATGTGACTCCTGGGGTACAAGACCGACCTTGTCGGGGTGCCGTCACTCCTGGGAGTGCAACCACAAGACCGACCTTGTCGCTTCCTCCTGCGATTCCACCGATGCCGCCGCATGCCTGTCGTCGCCTGAGGCCTGAAGTCGCCGAGTGTGGACACCGTGCTGCACCGGGCCCAGGCGGGGTGGCCCAAAAGGTGCATGTCATATGACATACATTGGATCCACCCCAAGCGGATCCAATCCAACGCACATGTAGGCCATTGTAGGCCATACATGGAGTATCGTGGAGTGTTTTTGATGTTTTTGTTGGAGTGCGAAGTGAACTTGCCCTGATTCCTCCTCCTCCTCCTCCTGAGAATAGATCCAGCTTGCTTTTTTTTTTTCTAAGGTGTCGTTTTGATTGAGCCGAAGCTGGAGTCAAGCTTCCTGGGCTTGTCAAACCAGTGCAAGAAGGGGTCAACACACGAAAGCACATTTAAGTTTAAGAATGTTTGCCCTGTCAACTTCAAATTCATTGGCGGCCGCTTGAACCACTTCATGTTGCCATCATTTGGCAGTTGCCAACTTGATGCAGAGAATGAGCATCAATGAAGTCCACCAGCACACCCGACTCTACAGGTCTCCGATGGCTGGAGGCACAGACTTGCAGACTTGAGGTCCATCGCCGGTGGTGACCGGTTTTGGATGATGTTTAGACCATGCAGGTCATACCAGGCGAAAGAGCAAAGGGTCCTATTTCGATTAGTTCCGCCCGGACCGTGGCTAGGCCGCCCGTCGCTTCCTGCGCATGCTGTGCCGACACCTGCCAGAGGATCAGGCGCCTAACCGCCGTCAGCTCGTCCCGCTGAGGGTCCTCACGTCGATCCCCAGTCGCCAAGCTGACTGGGGTCATGAAATAAAAAATATTTACAAATAAGTAATATAAGGATTTAAATGGAGGTGATTCTGATTCACCTATTGGTCGTAGATAATTTTTTTATATAAATTTTCCATGTTTGAATAGGTTTGATTGTTTATTATGATTTCACTAGCCCGACAGGAATGTCTCAACACTCTACAGCCAGGTAACCAACCCCTCTCGTGGGCAATCGTGGAAGTGGTCGATCAACATCTCCTGCATGTGGAAATTGAAACACATGTCATGTAAACACCCTTCGACTCACTCAGATGGAAGTGCAGCGAACACCACCTGTTTCTATGACCAGATTTCATGGTCATCACACCATGGCCCATGGCCATGCCCATGCCATTTCCACGTGTTCGTTGGAGCGTCAACCTGCTGAGAACATCAGATGTTCATGATGTGAGCGGTCCAAGCGGGTCGGCAAGCCGGACCTTCTTGCGGCCGCCAGGCGCGGGGGGTGCAGCGGAGGCTCTTGGAGACTTGGCGCGAAACGACATCAGGGGTGGAGAACAGACATGGAGCCAGAGGAGTTCGCATCACATGAAGCGGAACATTGCACCTTAAAACAATAAAAACATGTTTGGATTCCAGATTTGATTCTATAATCAATGACTGGTAAACATGTTTCGCTCCAACAGTTTCAATCAGCTGGTTTTTGGGAGGGGCCCAGCTGCCTCTTGGTCCACTCAGATGCGAACTGAACACCACCCAATGGAACTCACTCATGGTCATCCGGCCGCGCAGCCGAGTTTCATATCGCTGACCGAGCGGAGCACGGCCGCCGCCCCCCGCGTGACCGGCTTTCCTCGGCCCCACCGAGGAATCCATCGCCTTAAGCTCCTTCAACGTTCTGGCCAACTGCACTGCGCCGCTCGGAGCAGCGAGCAGCGCTGCTGCGAAGGGCTGCGGGTTTTGGTGTTGGGAACGAGCCGCGAACATTTGGAGTAGAAGATCCTGCAGCTCCCAATGAGCTGCACATCCTGCGAGATGAGAGGAATGACCCACCAGTCCAGTTGTGAATTTATGAGGGGTCAATGTAGGTAAAGTTCCAGTGAGTATAGTTTCTTCAAATGGAAGACGGGCGTGAGCATGAACCACGTGTTGTGAATCCCAGTTAGAAGATCCAGCAGCTTTGCTCACGGATCTTCCAACCTTTAAAGTTGGTCTTGGGACCATTCCTGTCAGTCATTTTCTTGGCGGAGGGTACACCCCCAGGTCACCTCTGGGCCCCTGATAACCACGCGAGCCGGTGGCGGTGGCGGTTTTTCCGTTGGTGGCAGGCTCCTGCCGGGCATTTTGCCGGAGGCCTGCGCGAAGAGCTGGAATTTCTGCCAGAGGACCATGCCAGCGGCATCCTGGCTCCCGCAACGCGCGAGACGTTTGACGTGTTTGTGTGGGCCTAGCGTGCGGCACCGTTTCGTGAGTGTTGGAGCCCTATGGTACGCCATGCGTTCCAAAAGGATTTGGAAGGAACTGATTAGAATTAGAAGTGCCTGACGGGCAAGATAGTTCAAAGAAGCATTGGTCAGCAATGGATCAGGGATGGGATTTTGACAGTCCTTTCAGCACACCTCTTCTGAAAAGATCAATAGCTTCTCAACTTGTGAGTGTTAACACATGTCTACATGACTCTGCATGCTCTTTAAACAACAGTCCTTTTCCACCCTTTCCAACAAAACACACACTGCAACATCCTGCAACTTCCGGACACCTGCGTCCCCCCAGCCACCAGACAGACTATAGACTTGAGACAACGATTTCACCAGAAAAGTCAAGATAGTCTTTATATGTGTGTCAGTCTCATTGTTTGATTTCTTCTTCTTCTTCGATCCTCCGCGCGATTATTGTTGTATTGTTTTTGTTGGTCAAGACGACCTGAGCTTTCTGGGACCTCTAAGTGATCTGGGACTGGGACCTAAAGAAAGACTCCTTGTCCCCCCCCCCGACCCCGGACGAGGTCAGCCGGACGAGGTCAGCCAGACCACCGACCGAGGTCTGCCGCTGCGCCAGCGACGCCGACCCCGACCTGGCAGAGTCGACTTGTGCCGAGGCCATCGCCTTGGAGGCGCCGGTGATGGGGAGGGAGGTGGGCCTCGGAAGGGCGGGGGCCGGTGATGGTGAGGTGAGGTGGGGCAGGCAGGTCAGGTGGAATGGGTGAAGACGACTTCTATATATAAGATTATATAAGACATACTTACTAGTACCCAGGCGGTCCAAGGCTAGGCAAAGTTTCATCTTCAGAGAGAGTGGATACTTCACCGTTGTCGGCCGAACTTTGCCTCTTCCCAGGGCTCAGGCAGAAGGCCCCCCAATGGATCAAACATGATCAAAACAACTCAATCAACATGTGGTCCATGTGGGCATGTCCTTCCCACCGGCATTGAACAACATGCCACATCCTGCCACCCAATCTTTGGCCGATACGTTTTTTTCCCGATGCACTGCTGCCATGTGGTATGCCTTCGCGTTACCTTGGCTTGAAGGCTGGCATCTCAGGTTTTGAAGCGGTGTCATGGAAATCACGGGTCTGATATGTCTGATCTTGATGCCATGCATATATCTCCGGATGTCTTTGGAGAATACGTGATGTGATATAGCCCCGCTGACTACTCCAGGTGACCTGTCATTGGAATGCCAAAGCGTCGCCGATGCTTACAAGGCTTGCTGGGGGCACGTGATGTGCATGGATGCCAGTGATTTTCAATGTCGAGTGTTCCCAGCATATCGGACAAAGTATCGGACAATCGGACATGCATCTTAATGACACCCAACATGATCGACATGTGTCAGTTTAAATTCATGCAGGCCATGAGGACGAGCTCTACGACTGGGGTTCCTCCGATGATGCCGAGATTGGACCACGATGGGAAGGTGCCAACCCCCGTGCGATGTGGACTCGTGAGATCGAGATCAATAGTAGATTGAGCTAGCTGGCTTAATTAGGCCAGGTCTCGAAGAAATTGAAATCCGTATTTCTCCGGACATTCCCGCGGGATCTCAAGGGACCGGCTGAGCCTCAACAATGCCAAAAATAATGATCATTCGATTCGACTCAGATCATAGATCAGCATGCATGACATCATGAAACATAATATCTGTTCTTGCTCCGCCCGGCCACGTTTTTGCTTCCATGGGTGTGCAGCGGCGCCAAAGCCGCATGAACATGGAGAGGATAGACTTCCTTAAGGACAGGGCTGTGTGATTGGGCATGTTCTTTCAAACTATTTCACCTAGCCTAGATGTTCACTCAATCGTTCCAAACCATGGGATGTTCAAAAGTCGATCGCCCAATTATGTTCATCGTTGCTGAATGGTTCAGCTCCTTTCTGCGCATGGAGCACTGCAAGCTTCAATCATAGTACTTCGATGGGTTCTTTGCTAGGACTTCTTCGATGAACTATGCCAGACAGAAGGGTACATCAATGGGCGACGGGCTGACATCAAGGCAAAGAAAGGATCAAAGGCAGGTCATGTTCCGGTAGTTCATGATCATCATGTGTTTTCTTTTACATTTTTGTCCAACGCCTAAATTAACAAATTCTTAAACTAATTGCCGTAGGTATTTTCCTTTGTCGATTTGGTGGGGTCAGACTCTGTGAGCGAGTTGGAGGCCAGACCATGCATTGGAAAGCATCCAGTGAGTTCAATCCTGAATGAATTAATTGTTAACTCGAAAGGTTGAACGAGATACCAACTTCAATTTCTTGGCCAAATACTTGAGTATCTTCGCGGGTGATTTGCCCACTATGCACGAGGTTCAGGACGTTCGGAAGTTAAGACATTTGCCACGGATGAGACGTGATATACTAGTCGGTGATTGTCAAATCGCCATTGCAGGAGGCATTGTCCTATGCCAGCAACACGTATGACCTCAATCCGCGCTTTCGTCGAAAGGGGCAACACGAGGCTCAGGGAAGAAAGGGGGTGGAGTGCAAAATGACTAAATCCTCAATCGGTTTGGATAATTTATGCCAGCTTAGATTCCCAAGCCCCTATCATTGCAACATTATCGTGAATTAGATCGGCATCAACCCCCAACCCCAACAATCATCCCGAAGTCCCAGTCCCAGCATCATCCGTTGCTGCCAGGCATGGATTCGAGTGGAGGCCAAATTGATCCGCACGATGGCCTCCCATGTGAGCAACTTGTATCAACGGAGCAGGAAAGTCAGGCGAGCTTCAATGATTTTTTCGAGGGCCATTTAACACAAGATAAAAAAAATAGGTAATTACTGTTTAAGACATGTGTACTAAAGCTAGTGTAGATGTGCAGGAAGGGGCATGACAAGATGAATACCCTGAAGTCAATCATCCTTCTGAAGTGCCAGGACCGATCACGCATGTATACATGATGCACGACGGACATAATATTTCAGTCGGCTGGCTTGTGTCAAAATCAGGCGTGCATATGTCGATAAATGCTTTAATATGTTTTTATACATGTGAATGTGAACCACCTGTCACAGGAGCGGGGAATACTGTCGTCATCTAACAAAAAGCTCCCAACCCGTGGAAGATCGACCTTTAAGGCCAAATATTGATTTGGTTGGTTTCTTTGTTGAACCGTTCGTTCAACAGGTTGTCACACATGCACATGTGCACAAGTCCTTCAATTTTGAGTTTTTGTTTGCCTCTAGGTGTCAAAGGTATCGTCGAAGCACTTTCATAGAAGTCAAGCCACGGAACAGCTGTCAGCAAGCCCGAGTGAGCCAAGCGCGTGTAAAGTTGGTGCACCCCCTGACATGGCTGATACTTTGCCAATGTCGCCCAACTTGGAATCACAACCACCCAATTTCAGGGAGCCTGTTGAAGACGATAGCCGAGTGCCAGTTGAACCTGCCGAATACCAGCCAGACTCCCAAGCAATGGATATGGATGTCGCAGATGCAGCAAAGGTGGGTTGCGATGTGGGAGAGGATGGAGAGGGTAAAGAACAGGCCGAGGAGGAAACCCGAACCGATGACGAGATCATTGAACCAATTATTTCGCATGAGCTTGTTGCACATCAATATCAAGATGATGGCGAAGTCCCAGAACTAGAACTTGCAAACCAGAATTTGCCTTCAGCCACTCCGGCAGCTGAAGTCAATGAACAGGAGAAAGCCGAGATCGAGAGAAAGCCAGTAGATAATGAACAACATGAAAACGAAGAAAAAGTGAACGTCGAGATCGAGAGAAAGCCAGTAGAAACCAAACATGGAGAAGACGAGGAAGTCGAGATCGAGACACGGCCAGTTGAGGAGGAGCACAAGAAAGAACGAAAGAACGCCGATATCGAGAAAAAGCCAGAAGAGAAAAACGAAGCTGAAAAAGAGAAAGAACAAAAGAAAGCCGAGATCAAACCAGTGCCAAAGGGTGAGGTCACCGAACCAAGAGCTCCCAGTGGCTTGGGCCATCCCGCCGGGAAAAATGCGACAGCTGCACCTTCGGCCACAGGTTCACCAAAGCCACAGCAGGGAAGCTCAGCTGATCTTGATTCGGAGGATGAGACCAAAAATGCAAAAGATGAAGCTCCAGTAAAACCCAAAGGAACTCACAAGGACCAATATTATGTGTCAGGGCATAGTAATCCAATCGAAACTTGTACCAATCAACATCGGCTTAACTCCGGACCATTTTCTGTCCATCCAGGACAGCCAGCCAATTTGTGAACTGCCTGGTGACGTTCGCAATGATCAGTCGTTGCAGTCTCAAATCGAAGAAGCAGCTAGCAAGTTGATTGAAGCTAAAGATGGGAAGGATGTACACAGCAATCTGCTGAAGGCCCCATTCCGGTTGATATTGACTTTGATATTGTTGAGATCGTTTTTTATCGTTTAGATCTCTAGATCGATCGATAGAGCTTGAGCCTTAAGCGCAATCCACTTCATTGTACTGCATAGCCAATTCTATTTTTCTCTGTGTACTTTATCGTTCAACTCCTCAATCTTCATTTGATCATTGCTGTCCATCATTTGTGATGGCAGGCGCAGGCTCTTTTACGCAAATCCATCCGTGACACCATTGCAGATCCAGAAGACCCAGATCGCGAGCACAAAGACGAATATGAGACAGACTCCCAAGGTGAAGAAGGTGGAAAACAGAAGAAAAGAAAACCAGGATCGAGTGGAAGAGGACGAGGTAAAGGACGAGGTAGAGGACGAGGTAGAGGGAGCCAAAAGAACAATAAATCAGAGAAGCCAGCAGAGGAAAGAAAGGAAGCGCTTGAGAACCCACCCAAAAGAGCACGTGTTGTCCCAGCAGAGCAAGTTCCCGACCATGTGTTGCCAAAGAATTTGGATGCGGCATTCGAGCAGGCAGTTGGATATGTAAACGAAGACCTCAAAGATGCAGCAGCTGCAGCAGCGGAGCGTGAGGAACATGCGCAAGCATCGCCCAAAGCAAAAACATTGCCCAAGAAAAGGTCGGCACCTAAGAGGAAGAAGGTTACACCCAAGAAGGCGAAAGCTGAACGGAAAGCAAAAGAACCAGAAAAGCCAAATGATGATAAGTCATCAGCCGCAGCGCGATCCAAGCCCGATGCAGCAGATCCGGCAGATCTGTCTCGCACACCCAACAAGAAGAAAGAAAAGATGGCTACCCCCAAAAGAACACCCAAGACCTCACCCAAGAAAAGACGTATGAAGAAAAATCAGGACCAGTTTTTCGTTTATCACTACCGTTACAAATCAATGTTATTAAAGGTGCGTGATTTGCTTCTGTCATCCACATTGCATTGCACTAGTGCTAGCTTTTAATGTGTAAGCGTTTTAATTTATAGCGGTGAGGAGGCAAACGTCGCCTTGCTGACCTAGCATGGTAAACACCTGCCTCATCTGAAGTTGCCTGCTGACTATGCTTCGAAGAAGTGTTGTCCTGAGAGATCTTGCATCACGTGATCACGGGGTGGATTCATATTGGGGAACCCTTCTTTACTATGCATACAATTCAACCTAAGTTATCAAATGTTGACCAAATCCGTTCGTGCTGAGGAGCTTCACCCTTCGTGCGCCGGAAGACCTACCAACCGATAGGATCGAAGACCCACTACAAATTCAGTTTTTGTAGGGGACTCAACGGTGTAGC